ATATGTCCTGATTCGCCGAATAATATGCCGTAGTTCGAATAACTGGATCCCACCAACCAATCACATGACGCTATTCACAATCACCTCGAAGTAAAAAGTGGCTAACCATTCTGAAGACCACTGTAGTGCCATCGACAACGTCAAGGATTTCGTTGATTTCGAGGTACGTATTGACACTCCCCTTCATTGAACGACTCTCCACATAACAAGTGGACAAAAAGGTTAAAAATCCATGGTTCAGGACAATGAATGTAGCGGAAAAACCAACTAATTAATGTACTTGTTGTAGTCGACAACCTTGGACACGGAATGAAGAACCATCTTAACAAGTACTTTTTGGAGATGCTTCGAAATTTCCTCGAACCGCTTAAGTGCGCCACCAGAGCGATAAAGTCGGCTCTGGTGTCTACTTTTAGATGGCGAATAACTTTCTTCAACGGAGTGGTCTTTTTCGCCTTGATTTGACGCTTCTTTCGCGAATTGTTCCTTTTGGTCGCGAATACGAGGAACATGACGGGATTTCACATAAAATGGCAAACCCTACTAGGTGTAAAGGGCCAGTCCAGGCACGCACTTACAGTCTTTCCCAATAATGACACTACCTCGTATACTCACAGAAGGAGAACAGGTAGAGCTGTAGTGATGTGGAGCTAGTCGGAGGGATGCTAGCTGACAACGCGGTCGACTTGGAAGGCGGCGGTTGGCAACCCGGGAAGGTGCGAGCTGCATCAGGCAATGCTAGGATGTTGTGACTTCCATTAGCTTTTACTTGCGCAAGGCTCATGTAACATGCAGAATGGACAGGTTATGTATGACGTGGCCTTAAGGTGATATTTGATTTGTGGATCAAATATTTCACGCCGATGTGGCTCTACAGGCGTAGCAGTGACCCTGCTTGTGAATTCCATCGGGAAGTCTCGGTTATGCGTTTTCACCGACGTCATCGCAGCGAAGACAGTCACTCCGCATTTGATGCGCTTGGCTTGTTACGTCGACCAGCCATCGACATCAAATGACTGGTCGAACAGGTTCCAGGCGGCGGAAGGCTTGAGTCCCATGATCATAGTCCGATTTCAGGGACAGTACACACGGAGTCACACATTGTTTCCGCACTATTTGCACTTCTCTGGACCTGTTGACTCTACTCACTTTCGCTCCGTGGGCGCTTGCGGTTAAATCTTGGTCACTATTGGACAATGCGGAAGTCATTTCGAACATTTTTTTAGCTTATATAGATCTGATATCAACCTTAGTCATTTATCAGTTGTACACAGCAAAGCCGTTGCGACGAATTCCTGTGCGATCGATCGAACTCCACCAATCAGGTCGCGAGGACCGAATCTGGACACGTGTATTAAAATCACATTTCACATGTCTCATGTATACAAATACCAAGATGAAATGGATAGATATTTGCAAGCACCATATTATTTCACTTGTCCCCGATTGTCGAATTCACCAATCACAGCGCTGCATTTGCCGCCTCTCGCAGTACAAGCCAACCCATCAGGTCAAGTGCCACGAACCATCGCAGCAGGCATTTCCGCACAGCCAGCCTTCGATCACATGCATGACCACCGCGACGTGCTCTTCCACGAGGAAGAACGCCAAGAAAGTACCCTGCTAGCTGCGGGATCCGCGTTGACGCAGCTGGCGTGGCTGTCCCTATTGCACAACATTACGTTCTCCTCGAACAACTTGGCGACTGCCGTGGCGTGCCTACCATGGACGTTTGCAGCCGTTGGCGTCATTGCTGCATTTTCCTCGTCGTCATCTTCGCCTACTTCGCCCTTCCTCCCAACCCATCCACACAAATCCATGACCTCAGCAACACCTTCAGTCCTTCGATCGGTACTTCAAGGCGGTCTCCTTGCCACGCTGTTTGTCCTCCGCATGAGCATGCTGCATTTTTGCGGCCTGCAATTCACCGCCCTCGTGGAATCTGCCACCCACTGCCTCACCGAGCCGCTGTCCAAAGCATTTTGTCACCAAAACACTCCTGCCAATGCCGTCGTCGCAATTGCCACCGGGTATGCGTTGGCGCTCGTGTTTCCCTCCATGATGTCCAACTCTACAACCGGTCCGTCGCTGCTTTTCCACTTGTCCCTCTTCGCCGCGTCTGTCGGGCTCAAATACATTTCCAGCTCCTTCAATCGCCAGACTCACTCTCCCTCAACCATTGCCGTCGTGTACAGCACAGCCATAGCCACGTCCGTTGCAACGTACTACGTGCTCGGCTCCACCCTAACATCGCCGAGTGTGCACATCCCACAAGTGGAGACCCACGTGTCGTCGTTGGCTGTGCTTGCCGGGTTGGTGGTTGCGGGCGTTGGAGCCATCGTGCTGCCAGCGACGGTGTTCCTCGATGACTCGACGGATTCTCGCCAGGCCCACCTGAACGTGTCCATTCGTCTGGGGCTACAATTTCCCCTGGCTGTTGCAACCGCTCTGTCTTCGCCGCATACGCTGTCATGGCACGTTCTGGTCCACGTGGTACTCTCGTTTGGGGCACTGGCCTCGATCGCGTGGGGCTGGTTTATGTATCTATCGACGTTGGAGAAGTCGGCTTCGTTTGCTATGCCCCGCCGCATCTCGAGTCGGTCGATCCTGACCACCTGGCGCTCGTGCGACCCTGCCACGCAAAAGATCCTGCTCTTCCTCACAGGCAACATCCTGTACATGTTTGTCGAGTTTGTTGTGGGCTACGTCACCAACTCGCTCGGGCTCCTCAGCGATGCCGGCCACATGCTGTTTGACAATGGTGCGCTAGTCATTGGCCTCGGTGCTTCCATGGTGTCCAAGTGGCCATGCAATGACCGATACACGTTCGGGTACGATCGCGTCGAGGTGCTCAGCGGCTTTGTCAACTCGCTCTTGCTCGTGTTTATGGCGGTGCACTTCATGATGGAAGCAATCGAGCGCGTCGTCGAGCCTCCCACGATCATGACGGACAACTTGCTCGTGACGTCGGTCGGTGGGCTCGTCATGAATGTGGTGGGCCTCATATGGTTCCACGATCTCGCGCATGGCCACTCGCACGGCGGCGAAGGATGTCCGAGCGCCAACTCCAACATGGTCGGCGTGTACCTGCACGTGCTGGCAGACACGATGGGGTCGGTCGGCGTGATTCTGTCGTCGATCTGCATCGATTGGTATGGCTGGTACATCATGGACCCGCTCTGCTCGGCGTTCATTTCGGTGCTTATTTTTGGGTCCACTTTCCCGCTTCTCAAAGACACCATGACCCAGTTGGTCCAAGGCATCTCGGCTTCGACCGCGTCATCCTTGAACGTTGCTAAGCAACGAGTGCAGCAACTCCCGTTTGTCCACCACGTCGCCAACGTCCATGCATGGTCCCAAGCCGGCCAGCTCATTGCGACGGTCCATGTCGTCATCGACAAGCACGTCGATGGCGCCGTCATGCACGTGCGACGAACCATCCTTGAAGTTGTCCATGTTGCCCACCTGACCGTGCAAGTCATGCATGTGAACGAACCCAACACCGACGCTCTCGATTCCTCCCATGATGGCCACTGGCATCGCAGCAACTCGCATGGTAGCCATGGCCACTCGCACGGCCATGGCGGGTGCTCGCATTCATCACCCCATGGATGCGCCAACGATTAAGTTAACCAAGTGTGAGTCGTTCCTTACGTGGATGTAGTCGTTCCTGTAGAGGTGGCCATCCGTCGCTGACTGCTTAGGACCATCGTCGCGTTTGAGCTAGAGGTCCAAGGCAGCCCACCACAAGCCAGAGAACGCTGCCACGCATCATGAGCATCCAAGTCGCCATGCGCGAGTAGTGATTGAACCAGTATGGGATGACCAAAGCAAGGTGACCGAGCGCGTATATTCCTACTGCGGTGGCCACTCGTGCAGGAAATGTCGATCGAAATCGGTGGAATCTCTCCACGTGGGAACGCTTGGATATGGGCAAACAAGGTACACTGCCATGCACGTGCATCTTTCTTAGGAAAGAACTGGAAAGAGCATTTACACGCAGTCGGCAAAGATATCGACAGATTCGGCCAGAACAGCCTGTTGAAGGCGATGACGTTGATGGGACAGGTATACGTCGAGCTTGGTGAGGGGCCCGATGAAACACATGAGCAGGTTCAGCACGAAGAATGTGGTGAAGATCACCGACAACCACCCCGACGCAAAGCTCGAGATGATCATAAATAGCCCCAGTGTACCAACGGAGAAGACTGCGCTGAATATGGACAGTCCTAAGAGCGCGAGCGACCGGCCGAGGCGTGTGAGGTAGCGGGAAAACGCATTTCGCCGTGTTGTCGATGGAGGGGCGGGCGTCGGGCGCGTATAAATGTTGGTGTAAGGGGTCGCACGGCCTGCCGAAGCCGCAGTTGTGGCTGCGTGCGCTGGTTTCGATGGTGGTTTCGACGGCGCAGAGGCAGATACCGAACTGGACGACTGAAAGAAGGAAGACACTGACGGCTGTCGCGCGGTTTGGTAGCGCTGCTGCTGTTGCTGCTGGTACAGCTGGTATTGCAGGTCCACAGGGGTCGCAGGCGTCGGTGCTGCATTCGAGGCCGTGTCCGAAGGCGGGATCGCTTGGTACATGTGTGCCGTGCGGTACGAGGTTGAAGAGGCAATGAGAATTCAGAATCGGGCGATTTCTTTGACTTATATTATAACACCACGACAGTTCATTCTAATCCCACTTTATTTTTATAACTACTCGACAAGTGCTGTTATAAAAGACATATCGTTTGTATTAGATACGTTAGATTGACCAAAGACAATCTGTTATAAACGTTATATTTCCGACAGTGCAATTCCACACAACGTTGACGGTGGACATGGGGGCACTCGACGACTGGTGTCGTACGGCAGCAGCGCTATAGCAATCCACTGGAATGAGCAAGCACACCTTTGGTCCCTTGTAGCAAGTGGGGGCTAGAAGGGGGAAGGCGCAAAGGGCGCAGTCTGTGGCTGTCATGCAGCCATCAAGGTCCATTCAGGCCATGTATGCGAAGGGCATGTGCGTGTGAGATTCATTTGCTCTTGTAATGTCCAAGGCATGATTCGGGGCGTCGCCGCCTACAATTCCCACCGAATGGCAATATTTCGAGGGCGGCCAGCATCAGTCGTATTGACAAACGACCATGGCTCGAAATGTCCTGAAAAGCGCGGGATATGAACGAAGTGGGTGGTCATTAACGTTCGCCTGCCCTAGTTTTCGTCAACCAGACCATCGTACAGTCGTTGGCGCTGGCGGTACAGCCATCCGTCAAGGGCCGAGATCGGGCGAATGAGGCAAATAAATAGGTTGAGCACGACAAGGCCCAAGCACGCCACGGGCAAGAGGCCAAAGGACAAGAACGTTCCAATCAGGACGACCGCAAACATGCCGACGAAGAAGACCAAGTTGACGATGTTGAGCAGCACAAGCACCAACGCTTTGCCGAAGCGACTCAGATAACGCTCGGCGGCGCTACGGCGAGGCGGAGCGGCGTACACGACCGACGCATACACTGGCTGCGCGTAGGGCTGCTGCTGGTACTGCTGCTGGTAGGGCTGTTGAGGAATATACCGCGCTTGGTTGTGCGGCGGTGCAGTGTGCTGAGGCTGGGTCGACTGCGGCTTGTCTGCGGACGGGATCGGCTGGTACATGGAGCGCTCGAGACTGTGGTGGCAATCGTGGAATGGCCATCGGGATGATAGCCAGCACGGAATGAATGTTCAGAATGTACGTCTGACACGCATTTCCAACCTGATCCATATGGATCGTAATGGACGAGGGGCAGGCCATCGAAGGGGCTGTGCATCGCTCCCACGGTCGATCCATCGTCGCGATGGCAATGAGATGCGCGTAGGTTCTGGTGGCGACCGCACGATGCTGGCTCGGTCGTGACGTCGGCTCAACAATGCGGACGTATAACTCGACGAGCATATCGAGCCGCTCCGCGGACGTGGCGTGGATCATCCAAGAGTGAGGACAAACGACTGAGTCCAAGCCTCGGGCTCCAAGAGATTTTGACAGAGGCGAAGAAGAGATGCGCCTTTTCAGACGAGTCGTTGTCCGAGTCCAACACGAACTCTTTCACTCACCAAAGAGCTTCACAACGCCTACGACAGAGGAGTTCTTTGGCCAGGATCCATCAAAACCTGTGCTGACTGCACACTTGGGTTGACGTGCGTCGGTCAGGAGATGCACCAGACAGGTCGCTGTTGTCCATGCTGAATGTTCACGTGCACGAGCATTCCCTCAACGAGAAGACTTCCCGTCACAATGAAAAGCAGACAACCGCTTCGGAACGCGAGTCGGTCTGCGTTGGCTCGAGCAATTATAGGAGAATTCACAGACACTATCGAACATGCGCCTGCGGACGCGCCATAAGCACGAGCAGGTTCCCCCGACTTCACCACCAGGGCCAGACGACGCGCCGCCACAACCGCCAGACTTTGGAGGCAATGCCCACGATCAGATGATGGAGTGGAGTTAGCCACGATCGAATGATCCATGCAGGTCAAGTACGTATACGACGGAAATCCATTTCGGAGATTCAAATCCGCAACGTGTGTGCAAATTCGCGACCCCACATAGCGAAGTGGGTCCTCTCGGGGCATCATGAGGCACAAGAGCTCCCATCACATGGAGCATCCAGACTACTGAATCAAAATTTGTGGCGCACTAGCTAGACGTTTTGAACCATGCAGTTGGAGCGTTTTGTCGGTTTCATTGTGAAACCGATCGGATCTTCCGCGACGTTTGGGCCGCCGGCGCCGCCATTGTCCCGATGGAAACGTCGACCACGATGGACATGTCAAAGCTGTGGCGGCAGTCGGCCCAAGCCCAGCCGCCGCTGCCATTAAAGGTCGGAGAATGTGCAACGTAGTAACTCGGTGACCGACTCACGTTCTTAGGACAACGAATTGCACACGCGTGAGCCGACCAAAGTTCGTCCGCAGTCGGGCAGCATGCTGATTAAACCAAAGCGCAAGCGCATTGGATCTGCAAAAGCGACCCGGTTTTCTTGGTATGCCACCGCTTCGATGGCGAGGGTTGACCTCGTCTGTCCGTTCCAGGAACCTCCTCGTGAAGCATGATCAGCCAGTCGCCCCAGCGTTGCAAGAAAGTGTGCAGGCGCTTGCAAACCAAACGGCCACTGCATTGTGCGATGCACCGTCGAGTCCCCCCGTGGCTCTTGTCCTACCTTCAAACAACGCGTCCACCGTGCCTGAAACCGAACCGAGTCTGGACAATGCACCCGCCACGGAAATGGGCGACGATGCCTTGGCGCCGCTAAAACCCCGACGAAAAGCCACCGTGTTCGCGGCGCGACCTGTCGCAGTTCCGCTATTTTCCGACATCATGGCAGATAACTTGGATGGCCCATTTGAGCCCGTGCTTGACCACGACACACGGCGGAAACTGACTGCATGGCTACGACAGTTCCCCGACGAGCAACGCGACTTTCTATCCCCGATCAACTACTTTGAGCTCAAGTATTCCCAGGCTAGAGGTAAGCTCTGGAAGAATGGTCAACGTGTTCATCTGGGTTTACAGGGCTAACGTCAGCTTGGAGAGACCCGCAAAAGATTCGTCTTGCAGTGGCTTTTGGCAGTTTGCATGGCCTGGCGGCTACCAACACCCCGATCCCGTCGCTCTTCCTTCTGCAGCTTGTCGAGTACGTCTTCGTAACACTCAAGAGCTTTGGGCGCGGACGTTGTGGCTGACTGTGCAGGGAGATGGGCCAAGGACTTTTTGAGAATTACTCGGCTGTGCGAGACGAAGTCGCTGCTCTGGTGAACCCGTGCTTGTACTACTACGAGTCAGCCGCCGCCTACTTTGAGGTACATGGGTCATGCACACCACGAAACCAACAACGCATTCGTGCAGCGGTATACCGCCAAATGCGAGGCGCTGGCAGACATGAAGGCGCAGCTGCGCAAAGTGATGGAAGAAACCGACTCGATCAAGCAATCCAGCATGTCGACGCAAGTCCTGTCCAAACTCCGCACGAGCGTCGCCTTTGTCAAGCACAACAAAGTGGCACCGAACGTGCATAAGCGCCACAACAGCGTCTCAAGCGCTTCGCCGGACGACGAGGTAGGTGGTTGATTTTCGCTTGGGCCTTGGCATCGAGGTCGGCGGACACAGCACATGCTGACGTGGGCATGATGGTCAACCGTCTGCAGGACTTGGTCAGTGAAATCCAGATCAAGGCATTCATGGACTACATGTCCCCCGACGACGTCGCGCACATGCTGCTACGCGTGCTGGACGACAAAACAATCATCCCGACGCTGGCCTCGCTTGTCGATGCCATGAACGAAGGTACACAGTGTCGCCAGCCGTCTGTCGAGCTCTCTCTCGAACGAGCCACACCAAGGCTGGCTCGCCATGCAATCACAGCCTGATGTGGGAGTTGCGATAGACCAGAGGATGGAGTTTTACGCTGCGTATCAAAAGTGCATGTCTGCCGACGAGCTGTACCTGTTTATCGTACGTCGTGTGTCTTGGCTATGCTTGGTCAGCGCCGTCGAATGCATCGGTAGAGCCGCGAAATGTCCGAGAAGAAGTTTATGACGCGGCAAGCCAGCAACGCCCCGCTGTCCCGATCGAAGAACGTGCACACAACGGAGGGGTTTGTCGACAAGCTGCGGCGGCTACTGTGCATCGATCACATTCCGCCGCCGTCGCCCAAGGACCACGTGTAGGTCGTGTCATGGAGGACGTCCTGCAACCCCATTGTTGGTGAGATAGTTTCACGCCAGAAGAAGAACATGTTTTGGTGACCGTGGCGGCCCTCATGAAGCACTGCCACGAAATTCGAAACGAACTGTCGGGTTGCACGTTAAAGGATGTGATTCCGATCCACTCGGCGATTCGAAACACGATTGGGAAACTGCTCCAGTTCGGCGCGCCGCCTGTCGACCCGCATGCGCTGGCCACGGACGACGAAAACGGCCACAACGCAGCCAACAACAATGGCGACAGCAGCAGCGACAAACCGAGCCCCCATGACGCAGAGGTTCGTCACGCCTCAAAGCTACCGCACGTGTGCAAGCTAGCCTCGCGCTCGACCAAACCTGCCATGGACAGCTGTTCACCTCCGTGGCATCTCTGGCTAGAACGAAGATGACATGGACGACGAAGAAGACGACGACTTTGACGTGTCGGAGCGGCAAAAGAAGAAAGGCGGCGCACGCCGGAAGACGCGAAAGCGCAAAGGCGCAGTCGCTGGCAAGACGAAAGCGTCCCGTGTCATGCCGCTGGCCGACGTGTGTTCAGCGATTTCGTCACTGCTCTGTGAAAAGTTGTGGCAGGAGGCAAATGACCGGTCCAAGCTCACGCTCCGGCCATTCATGCGGCAGTACTTCATCCGCGTGTACGGACTCAAGTCATTGGCATTGGCGCACATTTCGAGCTTCAAGCACTCGCTCGGGGTCAATCAGGACGAGAACGTGCGCGCGTCGCTCTTTTACTGGTTCCTCGGGTGCGACGAGAGCCGCAAGTTCAGCGCCGACTACGCGTTTGAGTTTTTCAAGACGGTGGTCAAGCATATCCTCGTCGTGCACAACAAAGCTCCGGTCAAGCCGTTTCTGGCCCCCGCGACACCCGACGTGATGAATTCCCTTGAGAGCATCCAGTATGCGTGGAACGATCTCCTGGGAGATGGGTGCGTAGTCGACGATGGCGAGAACTCGTCGTCGTCCAAGCGGCGCATGGTCACGCTGGCCAAGGCGATCGAAGTGACCAAGTTAAGTTTCTACGACGGGTACGATGGATGGACAGGGATCGCTTGGTCGAGACTACGTTGTGTCTGGGTGGCTAGGAACGACCGAGAAGCGGCCATCTCGATCTTTATGGACGAACTCAAGGAAAAGGCGACGCCCATGGGAATGGAAGACTTTCTCAGTGGCATCATGGACTGCTGGCTCAAGTGCTTTGAGTCGACGGTCCAGCTCATTCGGGTCAAGTTTCGCGAAGCCGACAAAAACGGCGATGGCGCGATGGACTTTGACGAATTCGTTGCGTTCATGCAATCCTCCAACGTCCTCGGGTTCAGCGAGGTATGGCATGCCATGGCGGACACTGCCTTGACACTGCCACCACGTTTAGGAGAATGCATCTAGTCGGCGGCCAACGTCGTCGATTTTTCGAAAGCCCGCGACCAGTTATGCCAGCAGCTCCTCTAGTCCTTCGAAGAAGGCTTCGACAACGACGGACGCCGAGGTAGGTTGTGTGGCGGATGTCATGTGTCCTGCAAGCCGTTGCCGCCACTGCCAACGGATCTGTGCCCCCTGTAACCTGTGTGTTGACGGCAGATAAAAAAACGGGAAGCGGCGCGCTCGGAAGCTCGCATGCGGCGGGAAGCCATCTCGATCTATGATTCCCTCACGAACGACGAAAACATCATTGACGAGAACGCTTTTATCGAGTACTTGTTGTCGCAAGTGCAGTGGCTGACCAACGAAGAAGACGCCATGGGGACCGCCTTGACCGATACATCCAACAATGGGAGCCCTGCCACGGCAGACACAAGCGCGACCACCTCCGTGGGCAGTGGCGACAGGACCCCCGTCAACCTCGTGCTAGACGAAAATCCTGTCGACGCCCCGACGTTGGAAGCTTTACCACTTGGCCAGCCATCGCTCCTCGCTCTGAATTTCCCTCCAGCAACGGAGGCTGGTCCGCCACCAACGACCTCCCCCGTTGGTCACGACCGTGCCCCAGTCTGTCCATCTTCCTGCGCATTGGCAGTGTGATTCATGAGACCTATCGATACGGTTCTGTCTGCCTTCAAGCCGAATGTAATTTTGTATTCACATGTGGACGAGGCACTCATGATGAGAGGCAGTGCAGCTGCTGGCAGCGCCTAGGTGGGGAAGCTGCCATCCCCCACGCTCCTCCATACACAGCACTACTCTGCACTGAGCTCTGTACTGCACGCTCTGCGGTCAAGAGCATCCTAGTTCGTGACGTGTTGTGCAAAATAATTGAAGCCACTGGTTCGACTACGCCTGGCCTGACCCATCGGGCCAACTTCGCAAGCTCGGAAAATGCGATCGTGGTGGTTGTACCAACTACAAGAGAAGCGACAGAGTTGTAGCCCGTTGGCGGAAAAGTTCAGGCCGGCGACGCAGGTTTTCGCGGGGGCGACGGCAGGATACTGATGGCGATCGTGTCGGCACTTCGAGTAAACTGTCGAGATACGCAAAGCTCGCACGACATCCCGTCTTCCTCGTTAACAGCAGGCAAGGACATAATGTATGGCCGCCGCTTGTTCCGCCAGTGCCGCACGTCGGCGTCCTGGAACGGCACGTGCTTCCCAGCTACGATAGTCGCATGGTCGGAGGTAGAGCGAGGCCGGCTTGGGCACTTTGTCACGTATTTGTACTCAACAACGACCCCGGGGATCGGCCGCCGGGATACATCGAGTGGCGGGCGCTTCTTGTGTTGAGATTGACTGGTCGACCGGTGTGCTGACGAGTGGTTCGAGTGGCGTGCGGGTGAATGGATGGGACGGTGCGCAGGCGCGTTCACTGGTGTCAAGTAGACGGTGTGTGAATTGGCCACTTTACAGCTGCAAGCGGCGGCCGCGTTGGCAGCACTCGACGGTTGTTCGATAACGGATTGGAAGCGATATCGCATGGTGAGGTCGCTGTCGAGGACGTCCTCGATATCGGCTTGCTCAGCCACGATACCCTTGGCGACGACGAACAGTGCCAGCATGACGATGCGAACGAGGTGTGTTCCTAGCGTTCCTCGCACTCGGCTAGCGACTTGGCGAATGCGCCAGAGAATTCTGGGCAGCTGCCCAACCAAACGGACGTTGAACTTGACCAGATTCACCAAACGATAACAACAGTTTTTTCATAAATTCGTGAATTTCCCAAATATCTTTGCTCACGTGGTCGTAGCAAATTATTCCATCCGACCGAACCACGTTTTATCGTGAACCAACCAAGCCAAGTTGAGTTAAACCTCAATTTTTGAAGCGTTTTATCCCATTGAAGGTAAATATACGACAATCCATCACCCATTCGATTTTGACGAATCCAGGATATAAATATAAATATATACAGTAGTTGGAGCAAAATTTCTCTGGCTCCATGTATTTCCTTACAAAAGGATTCTATAGTTGGATCCATCCTTTACCAATCGAGAATCCGAGCCGTAATTTGTGTGACCTTTTCCAAACATATCATTGTTATGCCTCTTTTGCTGGCTGCGTCAATGTTGGAACAAGTGTATCAACAGATGGCGAATTTTGGGAACCTTGTGATGATTTGCATATTGCTCAGGTTGAAAGAAAACATCTAAAACGTACTACTAGAAATGTACAACTGTCATTTTATGCGTACTTATATAACTGTCAATTTCAAACATTGGTCCAGAGCCCCATCCACAATTGTTGGCCCTGGTAGAATACCCGTTCATATACCTTAGTTTGAATTGATGCGAGAAGCCTTTACCGTATATCGATATTGAGAAGACCTTTACAATAAAACATTACAATACAGGAAAATTGTACTCGCGTGATTCGAGGCAAGTGTGTATGATGTCCACAAAAGTTAGAAGAACGACAAGTATTAACAAATTTATAGAGGTTTCGAAAGTCGCGAATAACTAGTCAACTGATTTTCTTTTCCTTCCACAAGTATCCTGCGACAGAATTCAGTTAATTGTTAACCTGAAACCCTCAAAAAGACAGGGCCAAGATGCTGTTCGTTTCTTTGCAAGGCCTATTCGTTCGCTCTAAACACACAGTGCCGCACTGACATGATCGCAATTTCCACTACTTTGTCCTAGGTTGACGGTGACTTGTTATCGATCGGTGAAACGAGAGGCAGTGAAATAGGACGTTTCGACCATATTGTACATGTCTGATGGACTAGCACGACGGGAGCGTTTGGTGTGCAACCTTCAGCCAGTTTCTGGACACCACTCGCAAATATTCTTCGCACGCTGGAGGTGGGTGAAAAAGGATTTGAGATCATGGTGCTTCGTACTCCTCATATATCTGTGTCGGTAAAGACGATGACATCGTCCGCGAAGAAGGCAACTCGGTCGAATAAGAATGATGGCGGACCTTGTCGCAACCTGCTCCATTGCCGAGGCCGTGGATTTCATACAAGACCAAGGCAAGATTGACATAGGTGATTTTGCACTTTTTTGTATCGGATATCCCTTTTCTCCAATTTGTATACCTCGAAGTAGTACAATATATTTCTCTTGAAAATTGATACTCCCTCTGTCCCGCTATACCATGACCATGCAAACCCAAGTATTTCCCATATTACTATGACCATTTATTCTGATTGGCTAAAAAAACATGGATGAATTTCATTGGCTATACAGCTATTAACTCATGGATTGGATTGCTGAAGTACCGAGTTCGCCCGGAGAAGAAGCGAAACAGGGCACGTGAAGTTCGCCATGAGTGATCCACAACGTCTCAAAGTATCTTTCTTCATATGAGGAATCTTGAAATCGTTGTTGCCGTCATGCTCCAAAATCTGGCGCATAATTGCTTGCAAGGTTAGGAAGACGTTACCCAACGTCTCAACTCTGAGCGCTTCAAAGGCACACAACGTCGAGCTGATCACGTCATCGACAGACCGGCTGAAAGTCTTGTACTGTAGGGCTTGGATTGAAGCTAAAAACCCCAGGTCCAGGACATTGAAGTCCGGGCTGTTCGGCGGCTGACGACGCACCATAAAGACCCAACCATCCGTGGACACCTCAGCCAGGACTCCGTCATCGATTGTCGCATGCGGAGTTGCATTGTCGTGTTGCAAAAAGACGCGCTTGGTCTTGCTTGGAAATCGACTCTTGATTGCAGGCACAACTTGGTGGAGCACGAAGTCCCGATAGGTCGCTCCATCAACATTCACCAATGTCGTCACCATTGTTCCTGCAGGTCTATTCCGTAAGTTACGGAGTGCTGGCGACTGGGTCGCAAAGGGTCAAAGACCGATCTTGCCATCGAAGCCTTCCTCGGGCCTTGGACGTGCGACTGCTGCCAAGAACATGACCTTTGGGACAAAGCGCTTGGTCTTGCACACACGACGCGCAGGATCTTGACCAGGGACCACGTAGGTTTTTTTCTTGTCCTTATCCGCATTGAACCATTTCTCGTCAAGGTGGACCACGTCGAACAAATCGGAAAACTCGAGAATTCAGACCGGGGCGTCTTCACCGACGCTGCTCGTCAAGCAAGGGTTCAGGTGCGTCGGAGCCTCCAAGTTCATTTTCACATGTGCACCACAGAACGCTAGGCGTTCGAGCCTGTTGTCCTTGGTAAGGAGCGGCTTGAGCCGGGAGGACCGTCGCTCAATTGTTCCAGTTTTGAAGTGCCGTGCGAGGATGCTTTTAGAGATTCCTGCCGCATTGACCATGTCGCGGAAAGTACTGCGGTCTTGTTCTGGCACGGCTTGGATCATCTCCCTGATCTCAGAGGGAGTGTTTCGTGGCTTCGGGCCGACACGACCT